AATTAAACTATTTAACCAAATCACACAAGGATGAAGATATGACCTGTCCAGATAAACTAAAGAAATTTTTAGGGGAAATAGGGTATATTCTATTTTAAGCAGCTTGTTTGAGTGGGAAGATGCACGCGAGACCGCATCATACCGTGCTTACAACAAACATGAATACTGCCTCAAGAGCGAGGATCCATACAATGCCCAGGCCCTTGTATCCCCGTATAATAAAGCGGCCATATGATGGAAGAGAGTAGTGTAAAGAATGAAAAAACTGTAGAGAATAGGTAAAGAAAATCAAAAATAACAAAACCGTTAAGAAATAAACCGTTAAAAACCGAAAACGTAAACAGCGGAATCATACGATCAACAACATTCTGCCTTATTAAAAGCAAGTAACAGTATACTAATATGTAATAAGCGGGCTCAGAACGCTCAACTCTCTACGGATGCAATTGATTATCTGTTCTTCGGCAGAACAGCGTTTAACTACAAGAGGGCTTGAATGCCGACGTGCTACATTTTGCAGCCCAACTACTGACAAGACGTTCCTGTATCTAGACTCGGGTATAAATCATCATATGCAAGGGAGTTAATCAGGCCACAAATGACCCTATTTATAGATAAAGACCGAAAAATGTACACGTGTGTGCGGAGATATACGGTGCATTTTATCATTTTTGCGAAATAAATATATGGCCATCATATAAAATATCATAAAATGTGATCATCAAAGCTTTCTGCACTTTGAATGGGCACGATATCCAAACCGTTGATTAAGAAAAGACCTTCTGATAGCCTGGGTCCAGCGAACCAGTATTCGAGCTTTAAGGTGAAGAATATTCAGTTTCTGTCAAGCTGGAGCCACTGAGAAATATTAACATTGTGGCTGAATGGCAAAGACCAGGTTTATTATCATCGAACGTTCTTGCAAAAAGGCTTCAAACTACTTCACAATGCTCAGATTGCCGTCTTTAATTCCACACTTGAAAAAGACTTACGTAGGGCACTTTTACCGCATAAAAATAACCGGCTTGAACTGTGTTTACCTGTAGCGGCCTAAGAAATCAAGAATAGCGACACCCGAGTAGCGATGCTCCGGAAATAGATCCAGGCAAAGACCAATCTGGATAGAGTCGTAAACGCATCACAACGCTCATTAACATGAAGGGTAAGAAAAAAGTTTAGGTAGATTTAAAGGTATAATAATAGAGGTGTGAATTAACGGTACATATTATAGAGGCTAATTGTAAAAACGCTATAAGTTACACCGAAGGATTCACCTGCCTAGATGGTGAGCTGATACTTACATACCTGAAAAACAATCGGTGAGAAGAGCAGCGTTCTGGGTGACTACAGGGAAGGGCCGAGGAGAGACCGACGAAGAGAGAGAGGTGTGAACGCCAATGCGGGTTGTAGGAACGGGGTCAGCGGTATAGAAATGGGAGGACACAGACCATTTTTACCGAGACGCAGCTACACCATCACTTACCTAGGTCCGCGCGCAAGTCCCTCTTCACTCAAACAACCTATTTAGATTGTGGCACGTTAAAATCTAGCCTAAGCGTCTTGAACGAATCACAGATGTGCGCTGGCCTTAACGGTCTTTTGTAGGTGAACAATAAAAAGGAACGGGAAGGATGCACAGTCAAAGCACTAAATAAAATGATTGGAGTATAATATTGAAACAAAATAAGCGATATTCTAGTAAGCAAAATACTCAGGCCTATCAATTCAATATAGAAAAAATGAAAAAAATATTTGAATGATAACGAGAATTGCGACAAAATTGTCATGATAGGTCCCGTTAACCAAGTCCAACTCGCCTGAAAAAAAGCTCATACGTCTCACTCTTTTCTGCCGGTAATATTAATGCAAGATCACATTTTAACTAGGCCATTTACCCTAATAGTAAAATTTATCATGTACATAGTCCTGACGAAACGCTTAACTCAACCCTAGCCGCAACATAACTCTTGCCATAATTCTAACTACTTATGCCTATGACCCACTACTTAATTCAAACTTTCATCTTCACAACAAGTCCTGTGCTAACTCATCTGGAAATCAGTATGAATTCTCCGGTAAGAAATTACAACAGCCAGAGTCATCGCCGTGAGTCAGGGACATCCCAAGAATATGTCCGGAAAAAACTAACTAATCATCGATCAGAAGTTGAGGGCCAATAGGGGACGAGGGGATGCCGGCGACCCTACAAGATTGCTCGTGAGATCAGGACCGGCTGTTCATCCCGTCGACGGTGTTTTTAATGAACCTGATTTTAATATATCACAAGCACGTTATCAATGGAAAGGTTCTATTCCTATGATGCGGCTTCTAGCCACAGTTTCATAGGTGTAGCCTTAACAAACAACATTTTCCCTTTCCGCGAGTAAGGAGCTGTAGCTCTTTTCTCAATTTTTAGCTACCCCCTTTTATCTTCGTCATAAATAGAATTTGAAGAGTCAGTGACTGATACCTTGTCTCTGTCTCTACGAGGAACGGCGGGCCACACATTCTTGTCATTAGTAATGGTCAAATTAGCTTCGCCAGCATATGCTGGTGCGTACTAGAGCGTTTTTTCTGAAAAAACGGCGTTTTAAATCTTAAGTGTGCGTATGTTAATTACGTAATTATGAGTGCCATAATTCGAATGAAACAACTCCTATATAGCCGGACATTTTGCTTAAATATCTACCAGTGTGCAGAAAAGTTGAACAAATTTTCTACGGCGGACGTATTTCAAGACAAATACTCCGTGTCCGTCATAGTTCGAAAATGCCTCAATCCGAGGATTCTGTTTAGTTTGGTTCAATGTTTGATTTACGAATCTGAATCCCACTATGTCCCTAGATTCGCTCTTCAACAAAAATTTCAATTTGGGCCTCAATCATGAAACGCGTGCAAGAGTCCTGTTAGTGCGCAAAAAAATCGATGTCAGAATTCGTTTATTTCTCCAAACTGCTTGTAGTATTTCTGCAGTTGGTTTTGCATGTTGCCAGAGTTCCATATGTACTGTCCGTCAGACTTGCCTCCATACCGTCTACCCCCATGCCGTTGCTTTAAGTGTCTGCCCTGTGTTCCAGTCCTACGACTGACCAACTCGAATAGGGTGAAGAAAGAGAGCGAGGTTGACTCAGGGGAATTCATCCCCACACACCCAGCGCACATTCACCACTATAAGCCATATGAAGCATTTTTAAATTATCATGGTGCGCCAAAAGCCGGGCCTTGTGGTGTGGCCTCTGTGGCACTTCCTGTCAGGTGTGTGCTGCACGCGCAAACGGTCTGTTTAGTTTTGTCAGACAAAGCGCCCGATTCCGCCTCTGATCCCCTTAAATCTGTCTTGGCACCGGGCTTAAGTGAATGGGAGAGCAAAGCGTGGTGGATGCAGCTCAAGTCTACTATCACTACAAACTGACTAATGTGCAATTCGTCGTCCCTGCCTCCGCCATGTTGTGGAGCATGTCGTTCGTAACGACTGGACTGTCATTTGTCTATTTTTTTAAAAATCCTTGTTGTTGGTTGTAAGTGTAGCTGTCTTGCATTCGACAATTATGTCGAAGCATTTGCCACTATACTGCGTGCAGACACAGGCGCCATTTGTAAAAGGCACCCAACTGCTGCATGCAGTCTGTTGATCCAGTCGTACTTATTGTTTGCATTTGTGAAGATTTCACTGACGCCTATCATCATTAGTAACAGAGGAACTACATTAAATATTTTGGTATCATAGCCTGACTCCTTTTTACTTCCTTTGTACTAAAAGAATCGTATCTTTGTGAAACTATCAACGCAGCCGACTTATTTAAAGCATGAGTATTCTTTTTCGCTAAACGCGTGCTTTTTCCGAACACCGTCAAGCGCTGTCATCCTTCAGACCAACCACTAGCCCTCTGAAATCTAGCGCTTTTGATCCAATAACCTTGTGCTAGTCTCTTTTTTAACCGTTACCATCGGTTAATTAGCGATTGTTAGTTATCTTTTGCCTGTCTGCAGTTTTTGATTGCGTTTTTCCGTACTAACTACTAAGCTTTGCTTTAAGTTGGAGCCTTCGCACCCGATGACAACGCCACGATATGACGGTCGTGACTTACCAGTAAATGCGTTAGGTCTGGAGGGGACATTGGTCTACTTCAACCTTTTCCAGCTCATACTCGAGTGAAAACTTTACTTGACCATGCAAACTTAACACTCAGTTAGATTAATCGGCGCACTTTTCACTCGTCAGCCACGCCTTCTAACATCGAACCCTCCGAACTCAGTCTTCCAGAACACCCTTTTCATATGTTGCGAATGTCAGAGAAGTCTTTTAACCCATGCATTTGTGAACTTTTAAAAGTATCCATCGGTATGAATTCCCCGATGAAGGGAAGAAAGTGACAGCCACTAGCTGCAACCGAAAACTTGAGCTTTTTTGATCGCAACATGCACAGACGATTCGGTCATCTGTCACTGGAACCAAGACTAGGAAGACATCGACTGAATTAGGTCTGGCATATATTTGGATTATCGCTGCGTCTTTACATAGCCCAGTCCTCCAATCTACAGACGTAGTATGTGGATGTCGACTAGGTCGTCCGCATAAGGGTAGCATGCGAAAGACAGAGTGAGTGTCTGATCAATCACTGTGCCCTCGTTCATCTCCACCCGCCCTGACATGGCACCGCCGCCGGAACACGATGGATTTGGAAAAGGAAAACGAGGTCGGCGTTTCGCGGATCTCCACTGTTAAAGTCACGGGTGGCGGTCTTACTTATCGGCGACGAAGAATTCATCATCGCTTACCGTTCTGTTCTGCTTTATCCCAACTTCTTTTGCCGTTTGCTCGTACATGATTCCACCACGCAACCTTAGACGGGTTACGCAGTTTGTTTGCGTCAAATGCAACCGATTCCTTAGAGATTGTGTTATGTTTGCATTTCACTAAAACGACGTTACGGCTAGATTTCTGCCCAATTACGTTTTGTTTTTCCTTTGTTTTGCGTGACGCGTTTTTTAGGGAAAGCATGAGTTTCGACTCACTGGAGAACCGTCTCATTCGTGTTTTCGGTCAATGGGGAATGATAGAAGATGGAGTTGATTCCGATACTGGAAATACCGATAGTCAACTGGCTTCTGAGATGTCGGACCTAAGTCATCCTCCGGTGAGTGGTTCAGGGAAGACCAAACTGCTGAAGGAGATATCCGAGCTGGCTGACGCCTTCGTGGGCATGCAGGCGATTTCTGCCAGTCATTCAGTGCGCTACCTCAACTACATCATGGTAGCACTGTTTGAACTGATCAGCCATGATGATCAAGACATCCGCGTAGCAGCGGACGAAGCCATCAACAAAATAACAAAGGTGCGTGCACGCGACTTTCAGATCATTGATAGTCCCCGTATTTATTAATTTTACTCCCAGTTTTTGGTCTTCAAAAATGAATGCTGAAATAAGTTGAGAAGAGCTCAGTGCAAAAGGCGGGGTGTGGCCGGGACAGGCTCAGCCAACAGCTGGCACCTTTCAGGACACGCGGGGGGAGCAGGCATTCCATTCTGTCTAGACAGCATAAGCTTCATTTACTTTGCTGCAAAGGCCTTCGCTGTTGTCATTCTCGGGCGATTTCAGGATGTGCGTGACTTGAGGACGAGAGTTAACCAAGCCAGGTTTCGAACTGGATGTGGGTAAGTCGACTAGCCATTCATAGTGCAACACATGCCTAGATTCCATTAGGGCTACCAGCAGCCGACGGCCGTATAATTTGCTGACTTTGCCGCAGTGTTTGATCCAGTACATAGTGAACCCTTGTGACGAATAATGGACACCAGCCAAATAGTCGCCAGGATTGGAGCCCCCTCTCATGACAGTACTGCGCGGTCCCAACTGTTCGATATTCGGCAAAGCTGTGTCCCGTAGCCCATCCTGCTCAACTGCGCTGTTTACCGGACTTTTGGAAGGGTCCTGTATGACCTTGCTGTTGGAGTTGCCCTCGCGCGCCGGTTGACCTTGACTTCGCCGACGACGTCGCCCTGCTGTGTGCTGTCGCTGGCAAATTAAGTCTCTAAATCGGTTGGTTTGTCCATAAGCGATGAGAAAATTAGGGTGTTTTCGGACCCGCACCACTGACCATCCCTAGAAAGTGTTTGTGGCTCAGGTCCGCGTGTACCGGGCATGCATCCATGCGAAAATGGAGTAACTTGACCCCCGAGGGATATAAATCGACTTAGCCTCAAACGAGACAGTCCGCATTCACTGCGAAAACATCGTGAGGCATTCTCAGAACATCCAAGAAAAACGACTGAGGTGGCTTGGGCACATTCTTCGTCGTCCGCCTCACGAGCTCGGTCTTTCTGCTCTAGATCCGGCGGCGTTGATCACCTTAAGGCGTCGACGAGGATACCGACTCAAAATTGGCTGAACACAGCTCACCAAGATATGAAAGTTTTTTTGGGGATTTTTGTATTCGGTCTCTGTCGCTGATGGAGTGGACGGGTCGAGCTCTTGCAGATCCTTCACTGCAGGTCGTCAGGTGCTAAGAGGTACAATTCGCGACATCATCGAGACCGGCTACGTCGGGCATTGTCACTTAATAAAAATGCCAGCCTCGTTTTGCCTTTAAATTCACATCTCTGTCAAATCGGTGGACAGAGCGTGAGTACACGATTTAGATCGCGGTACATCAAGTTCAAGTATAAACCGGATCAGGGATCTGGTCTTCCCAGCCCGCGTTTGGGTTCTGACGCTGACAACTAAACCAGAAGTGGTTACTCAAGTCACTGGGGTGATGAACAAAGGAGAGCGGCTCTCGCACTTATTTGCCACCGGCCGCAAAGCCAAGCATCCCATAATCGACCCATTAGATCGTATCCCCTCGGCTGTCGTGCTGGAGTTGCGTTAACTGGTATATCCAAACTGTAGGACGAACTAGAGGACGAACTCTACGCGTAGCCAAACTAATGTTTTCTTCAGTCAAGCATATATAGTGGTCCACATATCAACCCACCAACGCCTTCTCTGCAACTTACCATCAAAGGAAGCTTGTGTGTTTTCTTTTCAGCTTTCAGATGTCTACCTAACACAGCACGTTATCTGCGAATTTTTCATTGAAATGAAGCGAAACCGGTCCAAACGAGCACTGGCTGTCGCAATGAAAAAATTTTCGGCCTGCATACACAGAGTTAATCCAAAGAAACGGAGGTACGTTCTGTTCGCCCTTTTTGTCGTTGTCTCCTGTAGGCCCTCGGACCAACTTATCGGCTGGACCCAAACTAGTAAAACTTTTGACAAAATCCTGAAATGTGCTTTGCGCTGAGACAGTTACTTAGGTTTTTGCATGCGCAGTAACTTGCGGGCTCTTGACTGGCCATTTTTGCTTGTACCCACGGCAACCAAAACTGGAAGGGATTTACGTCGCAGAACTTGCAGTTCAGCGCGTTTACTCATCCTCTTTTTTGCCCATTTCGACCAGTACGTTTTGTCTTCTGAAAGCATCTTCCCGGTTGTTTGTATGGTTGGTCATTTTCACGTGCCGACAAATCGTAGCGATGAAATAACCTATGCATGTATGCATTATTTCACGCGCGGGGCCTGTCATCTGAACTACTTCCCGAATGATGAGCTGCGTGGGAGGTGGAGGTGAAATTATCCGGCTTTCTGTTCCCACATGTACTCTTTTATTCAATATCGGAGCAGGTGACATGAAGTGCATGCGTTCCTCCGGCAGCAGTGGTCGTGATATTATTCGAAGCCTGGCTTTGGGTTCGGTCAGAGGGGCTGCGAAGTAGGTTGAGTTCCACTTGATTTGCACCAGCGAACAGCTGTGATCATTCACCCAGGAGTCCCTCTATTTTCCTCCGGCCCATGCTAGAAAGAAAAGGTGACTGGAATGACCACTTCCGGTTTATTTCCCGTCAGGGGATGAGCCCCTAGTCCACGCTCTGATGCCGCCAAACTTGTGGCTGCTCATTGTCGATGATGCAAGCAAGCAAGCAAACCTACCCGAACTGTGGTAGAGCGGCGCTGACCGATCGCGTTACGGAACTCACTCAGTGGTTAGAGGCATTGGACTTCTACCCAATAGGTCGCGGGATCGAGCCACAGCTGCTCTGCACTTCGGGTTTGATAGGACTGGCTGACGACGGCTAATGAGCCAGAAATGGCCATTCCAATCTCTCTTTTCTTTGTCGGTACTGTTATTATAGTGCCTATATTACGCACCGCTGTGCGACTGCTAGTTGGGCTCGAGAGAGAGCCCTAAGGCACAACGAGGCGAGTGAGTTCCGTAAGAGCGCTCGGTGAGGGCCCGTCCACCATTGTATGTTCCCGATCGAAATCCACAGGAGATGTTGGACTTCTAACCAACAGGTCGCGGGATCGAGCCACAGGCGTTCCACACTTTGGGGTTGGGTACGATTGGCCATTCCAGTCCCCCTTGTCTTTGCGAGTAATTTTATTTCACCCGAACTACTTTGGTCGTCTTTGTCGTCGTCGACAAAAGTCCACCACTGATGCCTTCTCATCACCATGAGACCCTCTTTGAGGGTTCAAGGTCGAAACTCCACGGGACACCAACCCAACTTGATTCTTCATGCACTCGAGTCAGATCACTGGAGACTGAGTACCCCCAGTGTCTCATCATCTAACAGAGGCCAGCAACGGTCCACCTCCTTCTGATGCCTCTGAAGACCTCTACACACTGACTACATTCAGCAACAGTTTTGAACTGTTTTTTTTTGCGTGAAATCAGCAAGACTCTAGTGCTTCCATGCATTTGTCTGTGATAACTTCTTAACCAGCAATGTTCCCTGTCATCCCACGTCTTTACAGAATGTACGCGATCAACCTTTTGCCAGTTTTGAGAAGCATATTCGAACGCGATGAAGAACTAGTGTGGGAAACCTTGGCATCATCGGTTCCACTCATTGCGGAATATATTTTTCCCCACGCCAGTCCACTAGAACTCAGCAGCGTAAGTTCTTCCCACCGTTCAATATTTTACTTCACAGAAACCTCCACTGAGCTATAATAAGTAGTATTTTTGACAGAACACTTTATACTGAGTTCACTTGGCCCTCTTCTCTCTTAGCTTCTCCTAAAGAGTTTACTGGTAAAACTGGAATCTGGGAAGAATTACATCCGCAGAGCAGCGGCAGATATTATCGTTTCGACGGTGATTCATTCACGTCTGCCTCGAGAGCTCTCGTATCGTCTCCTGCAACAACTGGCGGGTAAGAGGCTTACGCAGGTGGATTCTTGACTGTTGGTACATTTCCTTTGAAATGACACAGCCCGCCTGACGTACATTTCGCCTTTAACATAGAGCACTCTTTTAATCACTATCAATATTAAATACGCAATTGACCTTTGTATCTGGTGTTTAAACAGCGCATTCCGCTTAATTGTACTCCTTTTTTTTGCTGCCAAATCGCCCGTGGTATTAAAGTCTCTAAGGCGTATCTACGATTCAGAATATCCGTTTCAACCACTGCGCACTCGTCATAGTCTTTTCTAGGGTAGAACAGACTCCTCCTACCTTGTTTAAGTGCATTGAGATCGTGGTTCATGCGATATGCTTTCTTGTGAAGGCCTTCACCTTCGTGCGCCGAAAATTTTCACTTTTGGCATTTTACAGTAGAATGCTACCTTGTGGAAGCATGGTTATGCATGACCTCATACACATTGGATGTCCTTGGTCGGCGTTTAAATGCCGCCACTTACGTCTACGTTCTCCCGCGCTTTACTAGCCCCTTTGTTGAAGTGCGTGTGTGTCGATACAGCTAAAGAGTGTCCGGGCGCAGTCGCGTCTGCGTGGTAGTGGACGGTTACTGTTGTAATAAAAGATCTTTGCGGTGTCTGTGGTTTTTCGGAAGACACCGCTCTAGAGGACCAATAGGAATACGGGCAGACGGGCCTATCACAAGCAAGCCAGGAAGACTCATTTGAACTCAGTATCTTCAATATCTCCTTTCTTCGAGTATGCACTCAAACAAAAGTTCGAGAAGCAAGATGAGTAAACTGTTTATCCCAGTGATCGCCGTCCCTCCTCTCAACCATGTATGGACATATCCTGCAACAAATGAAACCTTGCCCACAATCTCAGCAAAATCTTTCCTATTTGAAACAACTGTTTAATTGCAGTTGCAGAATTAAGGAGAGTGAGATATGGCGCAGTGGCTTAGGCGGAAAGAAAGCCCCTGTGTGTGCGAGAGCACACGTGTTTCAATGCCCCGTTTGGCTCACGAAATACTCTCACCTTTTGAAAGAGCTGAGCACTTTGTCGGTTTGATTCTTACTATCGGGCATCTTTTTAGTGAGTGAACTTTTCCCAGAAACTTTGTCGCCTCTGCCCGTAATTTCTTGATTTGCCCTTCTCCCTTCAGCTCGGATTTTCTCGTTAAAACAACAGTTCTTTTTGAAATCCGGGCCTCCCACTGGTGGAAATTCCGCTGCCGTCGGTGCTGGAATCTCACTGTTTGAAGTTGCAACCTGTTTGCAGGGCTGTCTCTTAGCATTGAGGAATCTAGCACGTTCGCTTGCCGAGCGGCCCCCGGCCACTTCTCATCTCACAGAAGAAACCGCCGGACGCAGTCATCTGTCGTCTACAGCTCTGGTGCGGTTAACCCCACCAGATGCCTGTGATAGAAGCGTCGAGAGTAAGCTTACATATAATTAGACTACTTGTTATTTACTAGTAGCATGAATAATTCACATGCAACCTTTGTTCCCTCTCTTGACGCAGGTGGCCTCTCGAGAGACTCACAGAAGAAGGCAAACGCCCCTGCGGCCGCCTTTCATCTCATTTGTCTGCCGGATTCCGTACGCTCTTTTATGGAGGACTGGTCTGAGCCGAGTCTGGAGACCTGGTGGTGGACTGTAGTTTGGATGGAATGCCTTGAACTCTCCTGTCTCCTCTACCCGGCGTCGGACGAAAAGACTGCTGTCGCGAGCGCCTCTCTCGTCTCTACTGCCGCCTTAGAATGCCTGCTTACAATCGGTCTGCCTGCGTGCCTTGCAGATGGTGCTTCAGGGGTTCTGCCGTCCAACTTTTGTAGCGTACTGCAGGTTTTCTTTAAAAATGGCCCCTCTGCTGCACTGCCCATCGACGATCTCGCCGCCGCCACTCCCCGTGCGTATCCTGTCAGGGTATTTGGACCGCTTTTTTTCCCCTGAAAGGACTATCGGAAGTTTCCGTTTTATTGCGGAGGCATTTTCTGTGGCTGAAAAAGAGAGCAAATTGTTGCAAAGAAAGGGGAGGGGGGGGGGGGAGAACCGGAATGACCGTTTCCGGCCTACTTACCGTCATCCGTCGGCTACGCACCTGCGGCAGACTGAACAGATCCTGGGTTTGAACCGACGCACAGCCTCACTCAGCATGCTGTTAACTTCCATAAGAATTGATGTCTACCAATTTTTAATCGAAAAGTCTTGCCCACAGTGATAAGGGAGACTGGACTGGTCATTGGTGGTTTAGTTATCGTCATTAGTTGGCCATGGCTAAACTTCATCATGTCGGGGGAATGTAGAATGCGGGGAATTTTTGGACGCTGTCACAATCTCACCCCCAGCATCCGAGGTGTCGTCAGGGCGTTTTGTAATTACTGAGTCTTCTGACCGACTCTGTCGTTAATTATTGTCCACAGTAGAAATCGAAATTTAAGGCAGTCAAAACTCCTATATTAGACGTTAAGACCCCTGCATTTGGCGCCCTGAAAGTAAACGGAAAGTATCCACTGTTACTGTCGGAAGGTTCCCACGTCAGACAAATATGCTCACACCAAGTGGAGTACTGCACTTCAATCGGTGGGCGGGTGCGTATTCCTCAGGCAGACATCGATAGGTCACGTTCTCCGCTAACTGGTCTGTGTTTTAAGCACTCCACGAGCGTCTTCTTTAGCACTAAACTCACCTATCCGCAGGCGTTCCCCAGTGTGGGAGCTAATGAGGTGTGCGGCCAATGAAGTCAAACATACTGCGGCCAATCCGCCGCCCCCTTCCCCAGGAGCGGGGAACATTCGCCAAATCTGTGGCACATTTGCCTGAAACCGTTTCACAACCAGCCTCTGGGCTCGCTACACAGTCATAGTCCCACCCAATCTGTTTTCGTCACCTGTCCTTTCTCGAAAGTCCTCTATCGCTGTGCCCTCGTCGAGGCATTGTTCCTCCACCTGATGTGCGGCCAAGTCTCACAGTCATTTCCGAGGCCTTTTTAAACTATTCTTCCTCGTTCCTTTTTTTTAGAATCCACCGTAGACTCCGAAACTCTGGACCCAGAGAACTTATCGATAACTGATCTGGAGGGCATTGGAACGGCGGCTGAACAGCGAACAAGGGATCCCAGCAGGACGGCGACGACGACAGCTGAAGAGGGGGAGGAGAAGGAGCACCCGAAACCGGTTGTATTGCTTCGGACGACGCTCTTAACCAATGCTGCGCAATCGGAACCACCCACGGAGGGCGAACGACGAAATGTTAAGCGCCAACTAACACCGGCCTCCGAACTCTCGGCACAGAACTCAGCAGGTAGTACACATCAGCAATCGTAATTCAGTTTGTTTTGTAGGTAGGTGTGCTTTGGTGGTCAATGCTAGGGTGTATTCCGAGTCCTCCGACGAGTTCAATCTTAGCCTTAAATGCTAATTAGTAGTGGGACAGTTTGGGCTGCTGTTGAACAGAAGATGATCACTGCCAATCGTGCTACAATGCCACGCCGAGCGCTCCACTCTAGCAGCTAATCGGTTGGAGTACCAAGAGCGCTACAATTATCAGGTCAAAGCCCCTGTTGTAGGAAACGACAGAAGTCACCAGAATGAGGGGTCTATTGTATAGAGAAACCCTGAGTTGTCCACTCAGGTGACAGTGGCGGCTGGCGAAGCCAGGGCTAACGCTGATTGCATCCGCTTATGCCTGTGAGACAGGGGTGGTAGCTGCTTTTGTAGTTTTTTGGGGCAAGTCTGAGCGGCGTCCATTTGGTGTGCGTGTATGTTGCATTTGCCACCAAGGGGTGGTGTGCTCAAGTGGCAGCTGGAACTCTGTGAACGCGTGTGCGTTCGAGTTAAAATCTATCGAGTGGTTGCAAGTTAGTGCGTCTGGAAGCGCTCACTGCGAAGGTGGATGACCTTAAGGCAACGGGGCCATGAATAAGGACGCCAAACAGCCACCATGAATGACGGCAGCACCACTCTGGAATCCTAGAGGCCACAGCTGTAAGCAAGTCGGCATATTTCGATCATTTGGTGGGCGGAGTCGGGCAGGTTCCCGTGCTGAAACAAGATTGGTCCGAAAGGTGAGGTTGGATGTGCAGAACTAGACCTGGAGATGTCCATCTGGAGTCGTCCCAACCCAGAACGAGTGTTCCCAGTCCGCACACATGCTTAGCGATTAGCCAACGTTTGCGCTGTGCCGCGGCGTATTGTCCATGTTGTTGTTTATGATGATGATGATGATGATGATGGTGGTGGTGATGATTATGATGATGACGATGACGATGATGATGATGATGACGACGACGACGACGATGATGATGATGATGATGATGATGATGATGATGATGATAATGATGATGATGGAGAAGAAGAAGAAGATGGTTGTGGTGGTGGTGCTGCTGCTGCTACTTCAACCAACACGAAGTTGACCGTGCGAGCCCCGAATGAGGTGTAACAGGGATCAGTCACTGGCATTCCATTTTTGCACTCTTTATGACTTTTCTTCGCTTTCTATATTAGGTTGGCCTCAGAGATTGCGACGGTTAGTTATCCCTGCTCATCCTGTGCCAGGCTCCCTGTTGACGCCTGGTCGACCTCGACACATTCTAGTGGGGTTTTGAAGACGCCCTGGAAGCGTTTCTCCGGTCCCTCATCCCCCTTGTTGGCGAGAACCTGTGGCAGTCGTTGCGATTGATGCTATGCCCGGCGAGACATTATAAGTGGCAGTTGAGAATCCGAGTGTGGACCCGAGTCTCACGGCTGCTGTGACAAACGTTTCATCCACTCGGTCTCACAGAGGTAGACCGACGGACGTTGTCTGTTCGCGTTGTTGGGCAGGTTTCTGTGAAATAGGATAGGGTTTGAGGGCTGTGAGCTGTGATGACTCAGATTGGTCCGAGAGGCGGTTTTAGTTGCATGACGATGGACGGAGACATGTCCACCCAGGTTATGCTGAGTTAACCGTGAAGCCTCGCCGGAAGGGTGGGCCACTTATGTTTTACGTGTGTTCGCCTACCTTCGTAGATGTACGCTGCCCATTTGACGGCAGATTCTGTGTGTAGGAGAGAGAGAGAGAGGACGTCCCAGGATTCTTGGTTGATTCCGATGAATTTGACAGCTGTCCTTCTGTGGCCTTGCTGTCCTCGTCGGTGAGAGCGTGTAGCAACGTCATCGTAAAAGAGGGGGTTTGGCAGACCTTCATTACCACTGTTTATGGGGGGGGGGGTGGATGGGCAGATATCTTACACTTGAGCTGGATTCCAATAACCTGCACAGCATTCATCCCGCACTCATTACGTCCCCATACCATGACAACTGAAATACCAGTGAACGTGCTCGGTGATCTAGCACGAAGCTCCCGTCTACGCATGCCGCAGACTTGTTGGTTTTCCGATTTCACGAGAGGTAGGTTTAAGTTACTCTGATGTTCCCGATCGAAAAACTGATGGGACAACCGGCTCGTGGCCCAGTGGTTAAAGGCCTGGACTTCCAAACAACAGGTCGTGAGTTCGAGCCTCGGGTGTTCCACACTTCGGGGTTGGGTATGACTGGCTGACGACGGCTAATAGGCCAGAATTGGCCATTCCAGTCTCCCTCGCCTTTGTCGGTAATAACATACTGTCTACGTCATGCGCCGCTGTGCGGCTGCTGGTTGGGCACAACGGAACGAGTGAATTACGTAAGAACGATCAGTGAGCGCCCCTGATCTTCCATTAGTAGATGTTGTCATAAAGATTACAATAAGAAATTACTAGGATCATCATGACCTTGATCTGTAACCTTCAGAGGTAGTCATCGAGGCTGAACTATGTGACTTAATTTTGTCGTCAATTCCGAGTAACTCATCGAACCAGTTTAGAAGGGCATCAGTTTTATTCTCGTGCAAAAATTCACCTCGGGATCGGCCTATTACATGGCGTTGCAAAAACTAAGAATAAACACGTTTTCTGCGAAAATATGGAATCAAATAACATTTCCAGTTGAGTAGACGTTGTGTCTCATACTCGGACGTACAAAGGTAGCTGCTGTTGTTAGATCTTTGGTTAAATAGGTGGTTTGCATCTAACGTACCGGTGATGGGGGGAACGATATGCGGTGAGTAATGAATGTTTCTACATTAAATCTCGGATTTGCTCTTCCAAGTCTTGCTTTACATCCTTGTTAACTTCCATGCCTTTTCGCATTTAGAGTTGCGCTTTTCAATCAATATCTACTTCTTGTGCTTCCGATTCTTTGATTAACTTTATAAGTTGGAACATGATCTTGGCGGAATTTATGCACTATCTATTGCCCTTAACAAGGTTGAGTGTAGTGGACCTTCCTCTCGTGAGTGGCGTCCCTTAACGCACGGTGGGACGTCAGGCAGATGATAATTTGCATGTATTTTGTCAAAATCATCACGCCCGCGTCCGACGTGGCATCTTGGGATCCTTTTGTACCCTAACGAAGCGATGGTACTGTATTTAACCAGAGGGGGGGGGGGTGGCGCCGGTTAAGAGGTCTTGTACGTTAAGAGGTCTTCTTGTACGGTACGGATAGTTTCCCTACTCTTTCTCGTCTCCTCAATAGGCGCTGGCCTGGAAGGCGAAACCGAGGAGGATCACGAATTCTATCCTGAAAATTCTGACACGCCAGCCGAAAACTCTCAGTCAACACCGTTTCTGCGACTCGACATTTTTGAAGAAATACTCTCCGGCAAACTGTTTCCGCCTGCGAAGTGGATCTTACCTCTCTTTGCTCTCCGCTTCGATCTCCTTCCTGCTGAGTTCCGCGCGTTAAACAACATTCAGGCAGCACCCCCGTCAAGAACATCCTCCCAGATGTTGGCGGTTGCCTATTTGGGTCAGCTTTCCAAAGCATCTTCTAAGGAGTTTCTCGAGACGCTGCACCTCGATCTCTTTGTTGGAACGCCGTTTTCCGAACAATCTCGTTTCTCCCCTATTACTGGTGGTATGTTGAACAAATAACTGCTACTTCTAAAATGTTAGTAGTATATTCATATTTAAAGTTATACATTTGTTCTCCCACAGCTGACTTGGCGCTGCACCTCATGCGTCATACTGACCCACAGGTGCGTGGGAATGCGTGCATCTTGGCGGCAAATTTGTTGCTTGCTGCCGCTTTACAACCCCTTGCCTATGAAGACACCACCGAAGAGGCGAATCTAGCGGAAAAAGAAATTGACCAACTTGATGCCCTACTGGGCTGCATTACGGATTTGTTGGAAAAGGAAGTAAGTGTGTTATCACATTCCTTATTCAGGCGCGCTTCTTATATGATATGTCTGTTACAGTTCTCTTAAAGTGTTTGGAGGGGTAACGGTGAGCTTCCAGTTATTGCAATCGGCCTCGCCTCAAGCATTGCCAAAATGTTTAGGATAGGCGAGAAGATTACTCTCTCTGACTGTCCTCATTCCACCCTCGAATGCAGTATGTCTAGACAGAACAGGAGCTATATAGGGGAAACAACCTGTCGGCTACTGGGGACTGATCATTAGCAAAGTTGTTTCGTGGTTTCGAGTGCACGTTTAACTAGATTTTGGTTGGCGGTAGACAAATGACGACACTGGCTTCTTATGGGTGCTTCTGCTCGCAACCAGTTTTCTCCGCTTCTTGAATTGACGTTTCACGACATTTAAATTGCGTGGCTATAGGGGCGGGGGACCCATAGAATGGTAGTCATCCGTGGTGGAGGAGTGGCTTATCATGACCTCGATCCGGTGCTGCTGTCGTGGACAGGGTGGATGACGAGTGCTGTCCCCTCCCCCCCCTCCGGCTCTGTCCCGTGCTCGAGAGGACAGGGACGCCGATTGCGAAGGGATTATCCTTCGCATTTGCACAGGCACCAATTACCAGCACTATGCCTGCGTTTGAGTTATCTTGCCATGCCTATTCCAACCTATCATTTTTACTGAGATGTATTCACGGGACCGCCTCAGTCTCTGAAGGGGTCCTGTGATGGCCACTAGGTGTCAGAGCTGCCCCGTCCCCGTTTGGGCGATCGTCCTCAGAGCCCACGACGACTAGGGTACGACAACTAGGGTACGCACTTGGTTTTAATAGTGTTCAACTGCCCAAACTCACGCGGTCATAATGTTCGCTACTTTGGCAATGGCAGTTATCTGTCCGTCATAGTTTGCGCCAGATCCAACAAACGACCTCATGTGACTGCAGACCCTTTTCTAAATTGTCCTCGGGATATCAGTAGGCCCTCTTGCCTTGTCTTGGAGAAACTAGTAGTCAGCAATCCAGAGGAACCCACCTCCACGACAAAAAGGAGACTGAAGTTCTTATGCAGGTTAGGACCCTTCACGGGGCCTAAATGGCTTATTTTTAACGTCAACAGCCCAGACTAAATCTTTAGGGGGCGGAACGCGAGTTTTTAGTCCTAAACGGACTGTTTGTGCCCTGTAGTCGACGGCCGTAACTACAGTACGTAGGGAGCGACAGTGACTTGGGTGTATGTGTGTGTGTGCGTTGCATTGCAGTTATGGGAACTTGCACAACACCAGTCTCACTTCCCCACCTTGTTCCATTGGCCAGACCCGCTTAAGACGGCTGTAAGTAGTGCTTTTCGGTGTCT